AGACACTTACCGTACAGCTTCTCCTCCTCGGTGAGATCCGTCTCCCTCACAAACTGCATGCCAGCAGTACTAGAAGAACCGGAAGAAGAAGCAGAAGGAGCAACAATATCAACAGGAGAAACAGAATAAATAGTCAAATGACGAGTCGTTGTTGGTGGAGGACATCGAAGACACATAATATCACCTGGTCGCACATTATGGGCACTGTTCAAGATGGTCTCTGCAGAAGTTGCCATAAAACCACCAACAGAGAGAGGAGTGTCAACCTCCACTACACGCAAGTTATGTGGCTCCACAACAGTAGATATTAGAATACAAGAAGAAGAAGAACAGGACAGGACAGGGCATAATTGCATATCTTGCAATAACTTCATACACAGACAACCACCAACACCAGCAGCAGTGGGATTAGTTAACACATGTTTGTCATCCTCGTTATCATTAGCGTCACTCTTCCTGTTGTTATCTTCAGTTGAGTTCACAGGTCTAATGCACGGAGTGTGAAAAGTAAAAGAAGAAGGAAGAGACACACATAGTGTGTGGATGCGGGACACAAATACTCACAGTGGAAAAGAGAGAGAAGTAGCAACAGCACAGTAAAGCAAGTAAAAAAAGGAATAGACCGTTTGTATGATAATATGTACCCATTAATCGAAAAAAAAAGAGAACACACCGCAATACCCAAATAAGAGAGAGAGCCAAACACACACAATATCCCATGGCTCTAGTTTACGTAATAAATTACTGCACAGAGACAACTGTGTGTACTAGCAAGAGATGTATACCGTCAGTGAGCAGAACAGCCCAGTTTTCTGCACAAACACACACACAACGGGAAAAGCAAGTAATGGAATTAATAAGAAAAAGAACACACACACACAAAAGTAAACGAAAAAAAATTCGAATTAAAAGAGAAAGCTGGTAAACAGATTATTAGTTTATTCACCCATGGGGTGGACGTACGCAATTATGATTATGATAGGATAACCATTATTATTATTATTTGACCTCAGATGAGTCCCACTGTTCAGTACACAGTAACAGAGACCAACACAGCCACAATCAGAAGCGGTGCTGCAGTGCGCATCCACACAGGACTGATACTGCTGTCAACATTAGCCTTGTTCGTCTGTACTGTGGAAGCGATGGTGTTAATCTCTGCGTTGGCTACAGGAGATGGAGTAG